AAAATTGAACATAACGCGTTCATCGGAGACAAATGTTAGTACTGGAAATATGGCGAAAGGTAGTTGTACCATCTAAATAAAACCAATAAAGTTGATAATCATATACACAACGTTTCAACATGCCTGTACACAGTTGAGAAAATCGTTGAATCCTGTGATATGATTAATTCCACCAGTGAATATGGCGACTAGTAGGGTTGGACCCATGGCTATGGACCTAAAATCAGTCAATAATAAATTCTCTTTTTTTTGAATTTTGTAAAGTGAGCGATACTTACCTTGTCAGAAGTACTCGTTTCCACTTGGGTAGCCTGATTTGGACGAAGCCCTAGAAAGATTTGCATATGGTTGACCTCCTTGAATCGGGAATATTTCAATCTGTAAGCTCACCTCCATAGCAAATTGTCCAGCATACGTACCCGTCATAGTTGAAGATTGACCAGCTGCCAGAATCCCCACAGCCCATACATATAAGGCGAATACGCCAAATGTGCAACCTAAAATTACCAAAAATTGGGGGATGTTTACTCATGGGTGAGGTCTTTGCCCTTCTCCCCTAAGGATGTTCTAAAAAAATGATAGATCTCACCAAGGAAAACACCCGCATGGAAGATATCAGTATCAGCAGGCTCGGTATTGTTTTCGTAGACGATTTTGTAAAAGTTTGGCATATGATTATCAATGTTGAAGCAGTTGTTTCTCTGAGTAGAACTGTGATTAGTTGCTAAATTGAGCGATCAGTTAGAGAGTTTAGGCAAGTCAGCTGTAGCAGTTTTGAACTAAAATGCGAAGGTAGTACTTCTGAATGCAAAGACAATTACCTTTTACTTATTGGTTCACATTTGTGAGTGACCTACAATAAAATGTCACAAGAAAGGAATTAACTTAGTGGCATAGAACAATAATCCGTGCTGCGTTTACGACAATGAAGAGCGAAGACGAAGAGAGGCAGCTCTTTTTGCGCTCCAAAGTTAAAACCCCAATACAACGCAGATTACTGTATTAATCTATGCCATTAGTGCTATTACCTTTTTATTAAAATGTCAGGCT